TCCCTCTCTTGCTGTGTGTCTCTGTCAAATAAATAAATAAAATCTTAAATAAATAAATAAATAAATAAGACACCCCCCCCGCCCCAGTCATTTCAGCTTGTCACTGGTGGGTCTGCACCCTCTGTGCTTCTATCTCCTCATCTATAACAAGCGGCTGCTAGGAGTACCTTCCTCAGTAGGCATCTTCACAGATTACACGGTCAAGACCAATGGAACTTACAGATGAAGAGCACGTGGCATAAATTAAGAGCTCAAAACATTCACTGCCATTATTAACCATTTTTATTGCTTTTTTTTTATGCTGATAATTTTCTTATTTTCTTCCTTAGATACCCTCCTACCTAACCCAGGTAATGCAAGGGATCTCTCTCCTTTCCATCCTTTCCATGATAGCTCACTGGTCTTCATAGCTGCTTGCATTTGCTGGTGAACATTTTACTTTATTATTTTAATAAGTTCTACACCCAACGTGGGGCTTGAACTCAGTGGGCGAATATTTAGCTGCAAAAAGATGCTTGCGTATCAGGGTGCCTGGGTGGCACAGTCAGTTAAGTGTCCTACTCTTGGTTTAGGCTCAGGGCATGATGTCAGGGTCATGAGATCAAGCCCCATGTGGGGCTCCACACTCAGCGCAGAGTCTGCTTAAGATTCTCTCTCCCTCTCCCTCTGCCCCTCCCATCTGTGTGTGAACACACTCTCGCTCTCTCTCTAAAAATAAATAAATCTTGGGACACCTGGGTGGCTCAGTCAGATAAGCGTCTGCCTTTGGCTCAGGTCATGATCCCAGAGTCCTGGGACTGAGTCCATCATCGGGCTCCCTGCTCAGTGGGGAGCCTGCTTCTCCCTCTGCCTGTCACTCCCCCTGCTTGTGCGCGTGCAAGCTCTCTCTCTCTGACAAATAAATAAATCTTTAAAAAAATAAAAATAATTGCTTCTCGGCCTTTTGGCTAAGATCAAATGTAAAAAAATAAAAATAGGGCACCTGGGTGGCTCAGATGGTTAAGCATCTGCCTTCGGCTCAGGTCATGATCTCAGGGTCCTGGGATCAAGTCCCGTGTCGGGCTCCCTGGTCAGTGGGGAGCCTGCTTCTCCCTCTGCCTCTGCCTCTCTCTCATGAATAAATAAATAAAATCTTAAAAAAATAAAAAAAGGGCGCCTGGGTGGTTCAGTCGTTAAGCGTC